CTCTTCTGTTTTTTTTTCCACTGTAACCTAGCTTTTATTTTTATATGCTACTACTTTTTATGAAATTTTAAATGTTTCATCTTGGCTTTTTTTCTTTTTTTCTTTTTTTTTTTAAAATACCTTTTTCTGTAACTTCTTTACAAAATTTTTTGTTTCTGTCGATTCTTGCTTATTTCTCTTCTATGTTTTATATTGCTTTTCTGAGAAAGCTAGGCACAGATGGCAATTTCTCCACTCATATCCTCAATTCTTTACAAGTTCAAATACTCCTTTTCCCCTCTTCTTTTATACATCAGGTTTGGGTTCCCATTGTCCTTTTCTGATTCACTTAACCCAACTCCACTTGCTTTCATCATTAGGAGAAATTAGAGACTTTGAAACTAAAATACTATAAAATATTCAGTGTTGACAGCTCATTTATGAAATGCATTTGAGAAATATGGTGAGATGATGCCAGATGTTAAATGTCGAATTCCTGCTTTTATAGAAAATGGAAAATTCCCCAATACAATGTTTAGGAGAGTCTTTTAAGGTTTAGCAACCTACAGTACTGAATATTTCAGCCTTCACTGAACATGCTTCATTGCTTCGTGGCTGTTAGTGCCGAGGAGGCAGAACAAGTCTGCAGAACAATAGGACCCTTCAGTCTAGGAAGAAAAGTGGGCATTTCCTGTATTTACTTTACTACTCAACAATCAACACTACTATTGAGAGAGGGAAACTTCTCTTCTTGGCTGTCTGTGCCCATCCTACAGCTGGCAAGTGGGCATCAGTAATCAATCTGCATGAGTGCACGGGGGACTACACCTGGGCCAGAGGGAAAGGAGTGGAGGAAAGGAGTATGTGGCGTGTCTCAAAGAGGTTGAGGGATGTGGCTGTGCAGTAGGAGACCTGGGGCAGACTGGGCACGGAGCCTAAGACTTAGAAGTGAACTAACTCCCGTTAAGGTTAGATCAGGACCAAGTAGTTCATATTCCAGTGAGCAGTTTGAAGGAATAACAGAAAATAGCAAAAGGGGGTAGGAAAGAGAACCTGATAAAGAGAAGAAAATTTTGAAAGACAGAGGTTGTCTAAACAGGGAGACAGGTATTAGCCACTTTTGTAGGAAGAAAGAAACAATGTAGGGAGAGTTTGACAGGGAGTGGGAGACAAGTAAATGTACTTAAGAACTAGAGAAGAGGAAACTGGAAACAGGTGAGAATACAGAGAGGGTGTGTTGAAGGAGTTGTTGGAAGGAGGAGGTTAGTGGAGAGACTGGGAATGATAGCCAGTGGGAAGGAGCTCATGGACTAGCTGTACTATGGGAGCCTCCAAAAACAGGGAGACTGGAGGCACCTACTTTGGAGGATGAGGGAACGAGATTATATATGAAAGTAGACTATGATCTGGGTTAGAAGTCAAAGAAAACAGAGACTACGACAAGAAACTCCATCTCACAAGACTGAGGAAGTATGCCAAAAGGTGGTAGATAAATTTCATGTAGATAAATGTAAGGTAATATATATATAGATAAAAATAATCTAGCCCATGGACATAGAACTGGCATTTATAGCTCAAGGAAGAAATTGTGGACTAACGTGATGAATGCATTTTTGCTCTTTATAGCTGCTGACAACACTGACAAAGAAAAGAAGGGCATACCATGAATCTACCAGTAAAACTTGGTTTACATATTTCAGGTATCTTAGCATAAGGAGAGCTATTATCAACTAAACAATAAAAATTATGAAAGGCCAAGCAAAGGTGAGATGCATGAAACTCAGGTAGTACAGGTTGTTTCGATCTCTTCAGAATAGGGGATGATTGAGAAATATGATTTTAGGAATGAAAAGGAGCATCTGCTCATGGGTCCCAGCTGCTAGTCCTCACACAGGTCACATTCATTTTGCATATGTGGACCCAGAATTGAGCATAGATATGAACTAACTTTTATCTATTGCAGAAAATCAGGGAATTAGCATCCTGTTTGACCCAGATTGACAAATACTTTCAAATATCTAAAAATGTGGGACTGAAAAAAAATTGATAAAATTAAATCACTTCTTTAACAGAAAACAAACTTGCAAGATCTGCAAGTGCTGATGATACTTTTATTGTTTATGACCGTAACAGTTCTTCCCTTATTGAGTGTTACAGGAAGAGGCAGGAAGCCTGGCCAAACACAGAGGTATAAACACAGTGTGCTGGCACCTTTTGAGTAATGTTCCAGTTGCAGTCTAAACTGCTTTAGTGCTGCAGTGATTGCTACTATGCCTTACATTTGATGTAGTAGACGTGACTGCCTTTGTGTAACTCTACTTGTGGCTGAAAACCTCTTGAATGAGAAATTCAAAGAGTGTTCTTGTGATTTCCATGCAAAATTACTCTTACCGTGAGGAGCTGTTTTAGTCTGCTTTTTTCAAGGTTTCAAAAAAATATTTATAAACAATAAAATAATGGGTTTAGTCTAGTTTTCCTAAGAATGTCTTTCAAAGACTGTTTTTCAAGTAGTCACTGCAATAAAAACATACGGAAAAGCCCATCAATCTTTCATATGCAACTGATTTGTAAACCGTGTGTTTTGGCCAATTTTATTTTAATGTGTTACAACTGGCTGGCATTAGGCTTCAGGGCTCCACCACAGGGAGTTACAACAACAAGAATATTTAATACATAGTACCATGAATGGGGTTGATAGAAACCCTGTAAGAGTCATCTCTTTTTAATAATGTTTAAATTATTCCTTTGGACAGAGATCTTCTATGTTCCATAGTCATCTAAGTTTATATTTTATAAAGGAAAGTTACCCAAATTCATTCAAAAATTTCTAAAATTATGCTAAAGAAGAAAAACACTGTGTCTTCATGCTTTAAAGTCAGGAACAGAAACACAGTCAGGGATGTGTAGCTTGCATTTCTCTGAAGTGGTGTGTGGATTTGGTCAGCTTATAAATCATTGCATATTTTGTCTCACACACGCTCATATTTTCTGAGTTCCCAGCTAAGTCTTTTGAGTATTTTTTTTTTAAGATATTTTATCTGATTTCAGTGGCGGAATGAAAAATAAAAGCTAGACACGATTCCAGTATGGGGAAACTGGAATGCTTTATTGAACAAGAGAACACAATTTTAAAGGCATCTGGGGCTGGAGATGTTAATGAAGGGGACAACCTATGTTAATTGGGGAGTTACACAAGTTTTTACTGCAATTTCCAAATAGTTAATTTTTCTTCTAGTAGGATTACATGGGGGATAGAGGGATTACAGGGGTTTAGACATGGTTTTAACAATCATCTCAAAAAGTCCTTTCTTAATTCTGCTTGGAGCCAGGTTTATATCTCCGGGTTGCACATCAGCAGGTCTCAGGACAAGGGTCCAAACTTCTTGAATCATGAGATGTTTGTCGGCCTTGTTTTCCAAGGTTTGTGATTCAACTTTACTGAGCCTCCTTTTGCTGAGGTCTGGTTTTGGGCTCCTACAGATTTCTGTCTATGCCCTGTGAGCTTGCTTTCTGTGCCAGGAGAGAGGAAAGAGTTATTGCAACATCCTCTCCATAAGTCATTGATGCCATCCCTTTCCAGAAAACCTAGAAAATCATGGATCTCAACTGCTGTAGATACCAGTGAGGAGACAGCCTGCAATTGCTCTGTAGAAGGCCAGTTGGGGCCTTGGGCTAGTTTCTCCCCCATGTTCGAGTGCCTCTGAAAGCTGCCCTAAAGAGTAGCTCCTTCGTAGCCATCTATCAATGCCACCATACAACTGCTTCACTTACGCTTTTTCTTTTCCCTTCTTTTCTGCTGTGGCTTTCCTGATGACCCCTAAGCCTAAGGGTCACAGGGAGGTCCAGGGGAGGAACCTACTGGGCACAGAGCTCCCTGGAGGGGCAGGAGACCTCCTGCGAGTGGGGTACAGCCTGCTAACCATGCTCCTTCCCCTCCTTGTTGCTTGCATTTGAACACCTCACCCAGGTGGTGTAAAAATATGTCAGATTTGTAATGTTTTCAGTAAACTGAAACATGGCCTTGAAAAGCTGCTCTTGAACAAAGCAAAACAAGCTTTGATAAGCTTCTGCTAGCTAAAAAAAACAAGGAAAAACAAAAGTTTTGCAACTTGTAAAATCTGTGCTCTTAACTTTCTAAAAAAGGAGATAAGGTCTGTTCTATGATGAGATCTGTGTTGGAGACAGTTTATCTAAAGTACATATTTGGCTTCTTTCCTTTATCTCTGTCCTTTCATTTGCAGTCATTTATATCTTTTGCCTTATTTGCTCCTCCTCCCAAGTATGCCGTCATTCTGCAACTGTTCCCTGCAATGCTGCTGAGCAACACAGAACAAATAACACACTAATGAAGGGTGGGGACATAAAGAGAGCACTTGCGGTTGAATCATGTGAACAAAAACCACTGTTTCCAGTTTGCCTACATGTAACATGAAATTCTACCCTTGGTGTGTCCTTGTTTAAGACAAGAAAAACAACAAAGGGCTGTAGTCTGACTCCTCTTCCCCCCCTTCAGGCTGAAGCTCAAGAAATTGAAATCAGGAGGACATGAAGCTCACTCCTTCTCTGGTGGCATAAGGGAAGCTGGGAGTATTCAGAACTCCAGAACTGGTTCTTCCATTTGCTCCAGGGTGGAAGAGATGCCTCCTCACATGGTATCACCTTCCCAGTTCTGCAAAGAGTGGCCACTCTTTGACCCGGAGAGGCCACTTTGTATGTGTGACGGAGACTGGTCATTACAGTAAGATGAACTTTTTAATGCATCTTAAAAAAGCACTAAAAAAGCACAGCTGCTTTGTCAATTTTAATTCACTTTCTAACTCCATGCTTAGCACTCATGAGAGGTTTATATTACCAGTTTAATAGCTTACATTACAATCAGTTCAAACTACTAGTGTGATTTAGAAAGTGCTGGAAGAGTGGTATTGAAAAAGGCCATGAGCACAGCACACTCTTTCAATTCATTTTTCCATCATTCTGTCATTCTGGACAGCCCCTAGATATTCCTCTAAGTTTACCTAGGTACAGTGTATGCTTGGCCTGGTGTGCTCTGGATGATGTCCTCCATCTGTACAATACACCATGCTCGACATGGCTATGGTCTCCACAGACTGGTGAGCTGCTCTGAAGGATGGTCCTGGCAGGAGTCATAAAATGTACGTTAAATGTATTCAAAGAAATCTTCTAATCTTCTTCCTGGGGAGGCTTTATAAGTGACTTCATCTCCCTAGTGCAGACTAAGTGTCACCTTGTCACAGGTGAATTGTTAAGAGAAGTCCTCATTGTGGGGTTAACTAAAAGGGGCTTATTAATCATTAAACCATGATGAAATGATAATTAGTTGATGACAGAATGAAAATGAAATTTCAATCAAATGGTGATTAAGCAACAATTGAATGGTAATTAAACAATGATGTAACAATGATTTGATGATGACTTCACAATTATTTAGATTATGGTTAAAATGATAATTTAGACAGCTGTCAAACACTCTACTACTTACTACACTTCTAATTAAGCTATAGATGGATATATAAATGCTGCTAGCATACAGTAAACTCTTAGGCCTAATGCAAAATATTGCTTACCTTGTTCTAGATATGAGATCCTGGGTCAGGGATTTCTCAGACTTGAAAAGTTACCTTGAGAGGTGTCTCTCCCCAAGAGGAGGTCACTGTTGAGGAGCCTGTTGCTGTACAGGATTGCTCAGTAGGTTCAGGGAGGCTACAGGTATTTAAAGTATCAAGTGGCTGACTCATAATCAATCCCCCCATTTGGTGCATGTACTGGAGTGAAGCTGTCGCAGTTTTACTTTTGTCTAGTCCCAGCTCAGGCTGGTACCATTAATTCCTGGTAAGACATGGCCTAGACTCCTTAGTCCCTGAGAAGGCCTTGCAGAGTTCTCCTGGCTTGCAGAACAAGGCTGATTTAATTTCAAGTTCTGACCACCAAGACACCTGACCACAGCCCTCACAAAGACAATCCAGTAAACATACCAGCAAAGAAGGTGTTTCAGTCAGAGTTCCGAGACATCCCTGATAAACTCAGACCCTGATAAACTCAGTCGAAACTTCCTTGATGGGGAGTAGTGGGCAGAATAAAGAAACCCTGATGGGTGTAGGACAAAGAAACTGTGACCTTCCAGGAAAACAGGAGTCAAACAACAACTGTCCCAGGAATAGATGTCCTACACACAGATATTTATGCCCTAAAGGTGTAAAAAGTAACTTGCTGCCAACCCAAAATGAGCTTCTCTGCAAGAGGTCTCCCGGGCAGACCGGACACTTGCTGGGGATGCAGCATGGAGTCTGGAGCTGACTCTGGACTTCGCAGTGTGGATCATCTTTATTTGATTAGACCCACTCTTAAGAGAAGTTTGGTCAGTGTCATACTGGTAACACCTTGCATAATATATTTATAGGTATGCACACAGGTAAAGGTTTGCAAGTATGTATTTGTTTCACTCATTGGAATACAGCAGTAACTTCTAATATATCTATATTTGCTTTACTCCTGTAATATATATACTTGTTTTCATAGTAGTAATTTTGCAATGACTTGTAGCATATATTTTTATGTTTTTACTAGTAGTAGTTTTTGTAGTAATTCATAATAAAGAAATTCACAGAAACCCCGACCTCTGTGTCCTTGTGTACTCCAGAATTCTGAGAATCTCATGGTCACACCCATGAGTCAGGCAAACCCCACAGGTTGTGTCCATGACGCTGCAGTACCATCTCTGTGGGTACTCGCATGCAACCTAGAGAAAAGACAGAGGACAAAAAGAGCACATGGAAATCCAGAGAGGGAAAGCATTTGAATTCAAAGAATTTCTAAATGAACTTCATTCATTTCGGAAAATAGCAGCTTCCTATGCCATCTGCAGCTGTATTTACTGTGGGTGGAGAGCTGGCTTTGATTACCAAAATCCAGGCAAAATATTATCCGTGCCCAATAACTTGATAAACGCAGCACCAGTATTTTACTGTAACTTTCATACCACAGGTCAGGTGCTAACACAGTAAAGCAAGGACCATGGGAACAAAGGTGACTAGCTGGGTAAAAGAACACACATAACATTCTTTCCTCTACTCCTATAGCAAGATAGTCCTTGAGTGACTGCCAACAGGAAAAATGAAGGAATTTTAATGAAATTCAGCAGAAAATCTCCTGTGGCTGTTGAAAATAACAATATTGGAGCTTTCTTTCCTGTTCTTTAATTTTTTCTTTTTCTTGATTTTTTTTCTCCCTATCTTCAAAATGCCAATTTATAGCCGTAGTCCATTTGTGTTTTATAGCAATAAACCCACACATAATTAATATCTCCAGGGGAGAAAGCATGATGTGAAGCGGGAGCTGGGATTGCTTAACACCACTGTCAGCATCTGCCAACTCTTTTTTAAAGGTTTCACTCACAGAAAACCAGTTCATGAACTGCTTCTGTTTTCCAGCAGGAAAACATTACTGTTTGTTTTCCTTTGGCTGAGGAGAACCCAGCACTTCAGGCAAGGGAAAGTTTCATAGGGGAATAAAAAAAGCACCTGAGGGTATTTCTGGAAGCAACATGAAATTACTATCTCAAAACATAATGCAACCTGTGAGGGAAATTTTTTTCCTTCTCTTCTGTAACATATTCCAATAAAAGGAATTATCATAAACCAAATGATTAATTAAAACCCATAAAATGTATTAGAGATGCTGTAGGCTGTTCAGCCAGGTTTGAAGACTGGGTTCATCTTCTCCAGTGTAGACATCCAGAGTACAGATAAATTTCTATGGCTGAGATAATTTTGAAGCAGACAGAGTGGAGTAGGTCAGAGGACTGCTCCCCACAACTCCTGCTGACCACAGATGGATTGTCTGCTGAGATGAACCCTGTCCTAAGTGCTTAAGTCAGGCTTTGGGAAAGCCTGACAGATCTGGGATCTGAAAGTCCTGAAGAGCTTGCCATGAAAGGAAAGTTATAAGGAGGAATGCGACATGTACACCCAAGGAATGGGAAGAAGGAAGATATAAGGAGAGGAGTGTGGCAGGGGGACACTGACATCTTGGCAGAAAGCAAGCTGAAGATTGTTTTAATTTCTGCTGGGGGCTGTAGGATGAGGATAGGATTAAGGAGAAGCTGTTGTGCTGTAAGGAGTTGGTCTCCTTGGGGTAAGATGACAGAATTGCAAATTACTCTTAAAAAAATTTGAGCTAATGTTTGTGTTTGAGGTACGTGTGGAAGGAAAAGGAAAGAAGCAAAACCATCTGGGCAGTGTTATGTGTTGTGAGTGCTGCTGATTACTAAAAGCCTACTGAAAAAATAGTTGTTGGTGATCAGTGTGCTACAATGAATGACAGGAATGCCACAGGGAGGGGACTGTCATAGGTAAGATTTTTTTTTGTTTATATGCAAGAATGGCAATGAAAGTCTGCCTCATAGGCTTTAAATATATCGATTTTTAAGGCTGATAAATCTTAACTAGAGCTAATATACCGGCACTGAGCAAAAGCTATGTCATGACACAGCCATAGCAGTTTTCTATTTAAAATGGTTTTGCTCAATTCCCTCCAGTTTCCTACCAGTTTCTACTTCTTATTTCAAATCAGACTCTTTCTATTGTCCTTCCTGTTTGCACACAGCTCCTCTTTTTGCAACCTAGGTTTATGGCAAGGTAGGTACACAGTGGCTGCAAAGAAAAATCATTGTGCCAAGAAATGTATTTTAGACTTTACAACACATAATCATATAATTATGGAATGGTTTGGATTGGAAGGGTCCTTAAAGATCATGTACCAAAGAATAGTGGATAGGTGTTATTAATAGAGAAATAACAAACTAGTAATAAGCATTACTAATTTTTGAGTTACTGGTAGTAAGTATGACATTACAGTTCCAGATGTGTTCACCACTCCAAATTACTTGGGCTTTTCCTAAGACTTCCTTGCAATTAGGTTAGCATCAGATTCCTATTTAGGTTGTGTGCAAAGCTTCTGATGGCTAATCAATTAAAAACTATTAACAATGGCTGTACTGTTTATTTGTTACAACATTTTAGCAAAAACAAGGCTTCTGAAGGAGCACAGTGACAATGCCAGTACAAGACCCTGAAACATGCATCCAGCAGACAAAAAAATCCACTGCTTGGCAAAATATTAATCGAAGTATTCTGCCTAGTCTCTGGAAGCATTTGAGGCAGCACTTAGCACAGTGATTTATGTTCAGCCTTGGAAAGTCAGTAAATTACCCTCCAAAGGCAAAGGGTACATGCTCCAGTCATGGGAAATCAACTGCCATTGATAATTAATTATTTTATCATGAGCATTATCTTCTAAACACCTGCTACTTTGATTTTCTTGCTTTTTAGGTGAAAGGGATGTCAAAGCTGAGGCAAAAATAGTTTTGAATTTTGTTTCCTATGTCTCATGCTGTTCTGAGCTTTTACAGTGATTGAAGAAAGCAGCAGTACAATAATTTCTACGTGCTTCTAAGGCAACTAATCCTTCCTGCTAATCTAGGGTGAAATCACCCACATACCGTAGTTTCTCCTGAGATAAGAGTTCTATTTTTCAAAGCTTAATCCTCTGCAAGTTACTGCTTCTAAAGATTCTTTCTTTTTCAGTTACCATATTTCGGGGTCTTCTGCAACTGTGTGCATCCTTTTTGTGTTCTTCTACCAATTTGAAGAATAGTCTTGTACGGGTTTCCTTGGGCCATTTTGTTACTCTGGTTTACTTATTGCTTTTGTTCATGTAATGACAGGACAAGGGGGAATGGTTTCAAACTGAAAGAGAGTAGGTTTAGGTTAGATATTAGGAAAAAAATCTTTACTGTGAGGGTGGTGAGGCACTGGAACAGGTTGCCCAGAGAGGTTGTGGATGCCCCATCCCTGGAAGTGTTCAAGGCCAGGTTCGATGGGGCTCTGAGCAACCTAGTCTAGTGGAAGGTGTCCCCGCATTTGGCAGGGGGGTGGAACTAGATGATCTTTAAGGTCCTTTCCAATCCAAAACATTCAATGATTCTATGAATTTTAGAGGTATTCTAGCAAGACACTGGATTATCTCATTAGACATGCAGCCATTGTACAGTTTGTCCAGATTTTATTGTGTGAGGTCCCTTTCCGGCTGAGTGAGAGGGCTAAATCTAGAAATCCTTTGCTCACAGTTCGAGGGTTTTTTGATGCATGTTGGCTCTTACTGTACAGTATTTAAGAATAATTTCTGAGCACACATTGTACAAATTAATGAGCAAATTGCAAAAACATATGTTAGAGAGCTGGTCTATGATAACAGCAGACAGATCTTGGTCATACAGATGAGGATGTTTTAAACTCTATCTATCTATCTATCTATCTGTCTGTCTATCTATCTATCTATCAATCTACTTATTTATTTATATATATCCATCTTACGGACTTCACTGAAAATTAATTACAGCCATTTCAGCTGCACTTCTGCTGACTCCAAGAGCTCTAACCCACAGAACAGGATAAGATCTTGAGGTGGATGTATGTCAGGCAGAGACAGAGGTTGTGAAACTTGATTTTCATTTCAATGACTCAACTACTTGCTAGTGAAGGTGTCACTTGCTTTGGTTCTGATGTGTATTGTTAGTGCTAACATACTGTCTCCGCCTCAAGGAAGTCCGAAGGAGACAAATCACCCGGAAGCCATTCCAGGATCTGCCTTGAGAACTGTTTTGGTTCAAACCAGAACTACTCAGGTAATGTCAGTAATACAAGCATGGCTGATTTAGTGAAGCAGCAACGTGGTAAAGCCAAAAAAGTGGGGCTTTGAACCTGTTTAGTCACAGCGGAAATCAACAAAGCTATATAGCTTCTTTGAGTTGAAGGCAAAAAGGATAAGTTCCCAACAACTATTCTCAGGAGGCATGGAAAGGAGTCACAGAAAATACAGAGAAGAAGCATTCTGTAAAGAAATCCACAGGTGGATCTTGGGTGGGCCAGGAGGAGAAAGGTGCTCTGAGCATGCATTCCTGGCTAAGTGTTGCAGCGACAGTCTCCTAACTGCCAAGAACTCCTCTGCTTAAGCAGCAGTTGCATTTGGAAATGTGAAGAAGTGATTTTGATGTAGAACTTAAGAAATATTTTCTAGCTTTTTCAAAAAAAAAAAAAATTAAACATTGATTTTTATTTTAAACCAGATTCCAAATGCTGTCTGTTGAGTTAACTGGTATATTCATGTTTCTCACTTACTTAAAATGTCATTTTGAGATCAGTTGTTCTATCCAGTATAAATTTGCTTCAAGTGCAGATCGATACACCTGATCAAATATGAACTATGCACTCCCTCTCTTTTCTGTGGAAATGCCA